TGGATTGAATTATGTGAAAATAAGGTTGGTTTTGCAAAAGAGTGCCTTCCAAAAACAAGAGCATTTTCGGACAAGAAATGGAACCTAGACCGCACATGTGGCCTGAGGCCCCGCACATACGAAAGAGCCTCCCCTATTTTTTCTTGCATACTAAAATAATTGCACGTGCGGCCAGTGCCCCTGCACATGCGGCTCTTAGAGCAATTCCAGTTTTGTTTTTCGTTCTACTTTTCCACCTTCTAAGCCTTCATTTGTATAGTTTTAAAGTGTTTTCATGTGTACTTGCATTCATGTTCATATCATAACTACGAAAGAAACTAAAGAACAAAAGTTATAACCAAACGGTTAAGTAATGAATAGAAACCGAGTAAGAAGCAAATGAATTGAATAGATATAAGTATCGAACTGAATAGGATTGATTGAATAACTGAATGACAAGATTGTAATTGAATTGTGCTTGACTTTACTTGTTTAGGTCAGACACTACATTTTATACACATGGACAGGGAGTCCACTGTGAGTAACACTGTTGTAAAGTTATGTTCCATTATAATTATTTTCTGATTGATAAACATGTGTTGTTTTACTGAAATGATAATGTTTACTGATGAATGATTGTCCTATTTTCTGAACTGTACTCGTAACATCCATGGCATATTGTTATTGCTATTGTTATTATTATTGTTACAGAGATCTCTATCAATTTCAACTCTTGAAACTATTGTTATTGTATCGATGGCCATCAAATGATTGTTCGGTCTGTAAGACCTATTGATTGTTCTGCTATGGGATGTACCACATATGACTATTATGAATTTAAATGATTGATAAGATATGACACATTGATTGAGAAATTGATCTATTGATTAATTGACTGTTTCAATTATTGTAAGGACATCATTCATAACCCCTTTACACAGTTGTTATTCACTGGACTCTAACTCGCTGTTTATTTTATATATGTAGGTGATCGGGTACCGGATCAGAGTTAGCAGTGTCGACCCGAACCCTGTTTTTGTCAAGCCAACTATTGCGCCTCACTGCAAGGTTCCAAGCCAACACGTGTAAAGGCTTATTGGGTGGGTCAGACTGACCCTTTTGTAATCAGTCAAGTGGCGAGAGTGATCTAGAGTGATCTGTGACTTTTCTTTGTAATATTTTTTATTATGGGATTTAATTCCCTATCTTGTGTTTTATTCTGTATACAAGTGTTTTATGGATTTCAGTGTTTATGTGCATATATAAATATTTGAGAGTTGTTTTGCACATTTAAGTTCTCACAGCTCATCGAGTGGTATTTTTTATTATTGATTAGCTTTCGCCAGCCTCTTTTATTGTGTTCTTGTCATTATTATTGAAGTAAGCCTTTGGTAATTACGGATTGCTGGTCAGTTACGTCACTAAACTTATAAGGGCAGATTTTGATCGTGACACCACAGTAGCGGCATAATAGGTTTCACCGTTAATATGTATTTTTAATATAATATTAACAATTGTATTAAAAGTTAAGATAAGAAGGTAGAAATTTTTTCAATAATATAATTTATCATTTTGTATTAATATTTTAAGATACAATATATGAAATCTGTAAATTATTAAGTGAAACGGATCATTGCTCTCATACCACCAAAGAAAAAATCAACTGACAAGGAAATAGCATTATTAAATAGATGAAGATGTTATCAATGTGAAATAATAAATCACACACATAAATAATAGCAAAAAGTTTCAATCACAAATAATAAAAAAAAGAATTTGGCTCGTTTCCAATTGAAAGTTAAACTGAATCAGATAGTTGAAAGTTTTGAATGGGAAAAATTATTAAACGGAAGACTTTTACCGATAAGAGTTTATGAAAATATAGCCCAATTAAATTTTTTTAAAAACTCTTGCCGGTAAGAGTCTTCCGTTTAATGATTCTTCCATATTAGAGTCTTCCGTTTAATAATTCTTTTTGATTAAAAATTTCAACTTTCTGATTCAATTGAAATCTCAACTGGAGACAAGCCATTCTCATAAAAAACTGTAACACATTACGTGTAGCTCACACCAGTTCTATTATATTTAGACAAGAGAATAGGACAACGCAATTGCGGTAAAAAATAAAAATAAAAACATATACACATACATTAGAGTTTACATTAATAAGTTACCGTAATAACCAACCAAGAACATCTGCTATTGCGTAGTGAAGTGTAGTACTAATCATACTTCACTAATCCAACGACGACTTCACTAACATGCATAATTTCACAATAGAATAAAAGTTCTTGCACGTTAAGAAACTCTACATTATAGCAAGAATTGACGATAAGATGCCACCAAATGACATGAAGTTACATATCACATATTTAATTAATTAAAATCTCAAAAATATTGATACACTAGATAAATTAAGAGAATTTAATATCAGCTTGATTGGTGAATACATTCCAAAAAATAGTGACAAAACTATAAAATATCATCAATGATATGGATAAAACTCATAGGGAGGTCTAAAAATATATTTCAATTGATATGTTAAAGATATGAATTATTTTATATTCCATGGACATAAATCAAAGGCCACTCGAATTGACATATTGATCCTCTTTTGAAGTGATGAATGTTGAAGCAACACATTGAAGCAAATTCATCTGAAAGTGAATGAATATAACTTTTATCTAAAAAATAATTTATTTGAAAGTGAATGAATGTGAGTTTATTGATAATTTTACTTATAAAACAAAATTATAAAATGAATCAAAATACACTTGTAACTTGAATATATATATATACAACAACTTACACCGTTAAATAGCAAAAATGTTGTTGCTTTCAACTATTTGAGATTTAAGAAGTATGAATAATGATACGTGATACAAATATGTTATTATAGAAAAAAATATAAAAAATAATATTGGGACATATATATAATGCTAATCTTGTCATTGTCTATTTGTAATAAAAATATTTGTCCTTAATTATATCTACTATAATTCTCAATTTCAAATTTATAATGTATTCACACAAAAGGATTCAAGTTTTTATCTGGTTACAAACTTGGACCAAATTTCTTATACAAGAAATAACACATTATAGTTTCAAGATAGGTTAAATACTTAAAATCTTAAGTTGTGCTTTGATCTTAGATTTATGAAAAAGAAAATGAAAATTTAGTGCCGGAAACACATCCAAGATCTAGAAGCAATATGAGAATATTCAAAAAATATCCAATATTTATTCAATGTAAAATAAATTGATTTCCAATTGTGAATACATTTAAAAAGTACCGAATACATATTTAGAAGTATTCAAAGAGTATGGATATTCGATATAAGTATGAATACGACCGCGACTCCCTAATAGAAGTATTCGTGCTCCATATCTGTTTCTATGATAGTCCAAATTGTCAAGTGGGACACTGTGACACACAAGGTTGATTGATGAGGACCATGACGAAACCTATAACAATTTACAGTATCCCAAATGATAAACTAAGAAGAAAAGAAAAGATTCCCATAAATCATTTTCCATGTCAAAGGTACCTTACACGCTACTTACAACCAGGTTCTGTGGAAGGGGGGAGCTGTATTTAAGCGTGTCAGGGGAAGAAAGGAACCATTGTTCTCTTCCTGTCACGTAACACACACACACACACACACACACAGGCATATGTAATATAAATGGGAGCTCCTTTTAGTCCACTAACGAGGGCTGAGGAGCGGATAGAGCTGCCATCTCATGCATTTGGTTGTGCTTAGTATTTTCCAATAGGTACGGACTATGGAGACAGAATCACAGCACTGCATACAAGACAAGTAAATGTTAAGTTCAGCTAACTGCATGACATGGGAGCAACTCCTTCCCGTTTACTTTGCCCACGTATTGGACTGAAGGGGGCTCCCTTGATTAGCACATAATCATAATAGTGCCTTCATGTACCTGCATCATTTGTATATATATTCTCTCAAAGCTCACATCTGCTAATTTTCTTCTTCTCTTCACTTAATACTCACCTTTTCCGAGTTTTGTTTGCTTGACAGGAAAACTTAAAGAGAAGGGTGTGATCAGAGTATTACTAATTTGCGGTTGCAGCAGGATGGCTTGACTCCACTCCTTTCAACTTACACACAAATAAAAAGCTCTCCCCGACCATGTCTCTTTTTTTTTTTTTTTTTTTTTGGTACATTAGAAGCTATAACTGGGAGATGGGCAGTCATGTATCCTTGTATTTTCGTGTATGTGTGTGTGTGTTTGAGAGAGAGAGAGAGGCATCACTAAATCATCACGAACTTAACAGACTTGGAGGGATAAGGGTAATACTCACCAGTTGTGATACGCAATTCCTGCTCATTCAAAAGGCAGCACGAACACATCATTTTCTGCTTGACAGAAATAAGGTGCTAAGAAACCTTGAAAGATTTGATGGGTCAACCTTTGGAATTACTCTTTTGTAATTAACATCCAAATTGTTTTGGTTAGGGCTGCAAACGAACCGAGTCAAGCCGACTTGTTTTGGTTAGGGTTACAAACGAACCGAGTCGAGCCGAACTTTGCTAAGCTTGAACTCAATTGGTTTACTTATCGAGCTCATTTATTGAGCTCAAGCTCGGCTCAATAAGAAACTAGACTGAGCTTAGGTCAACTCATTAAATATTATTTATATTATTTAATATATAAATAATGTATTTATACTATTATTTATATATATTTATATATTATTTAATATATAAATAATATATTTATTATATAATTTAGATAAAGATAAATGAGTCGAACTTGACGAACTAAGCTTATATGAGCTTGAGCTCAGCTCGTTTATTAAACGAGCCTAATATTCAATCTCGAGCTCGGTTCGTTTAGTAAACAAACCGAACCGAGCTTGTTCATGAATAGCTCAGTTTATTTGCAGCCCTAATTTTGGTACGAGTTATTTGAGTTTCTGCACAAATTTGCACAGAGCAAAAAATAGAATGTGGTTCAACAAACATATGTAACAGCAACCTTACCTTTCAATGTAGGCATAAACAAAAACAACCACAAGCATCTATAAAACAGATTTATTTCGTCTTCTAATGTACCCTGGATTCGTTGTTGTTTCGATACAAATTTTATGAGTTTTCAATGCCAAAAAGCAAAGGAAATAACTATGAAGACCAAAGCCTCCACATTTGGCTCTAATATAACAAGAAAGAAAATTGAAGACGATAGCAGAATTCAACCACACCGATTGTTGGGGCAAGCCACACCATCTTCACTCTTCATGTCCACTAGCACCAATTTCAGTCACCTGCAAGAAGGAAGCAAAACTTATTTTCAAAAAATGTCAAAAAGAATTCTACCACTAGTGAAATATTATTAAAAACCTTCAAAGTTAAGGACTTTGTCTAAACCCATTTCTCCCTCTCCGGGTCTGTTATCCATCTCTCTCCATGAAATAGTATTTTCGATATTGAATAAAATTTAAATTATAGATGTGAGTATTTTTTTCATGTTGATCTAGTGTTATTTTTAGTTGTTTGTAGATGTAATATTCATATACAAAACAAATAAATATATATAATTATTGTGTTTCATGTCCGTGTCCCTGTTTGTGTCCATGCTTCTTAGGTTATTCCATACAAACTCTTAACATCATACATATTCTTACTAAGCTTTCAACTACAAAACCCAACTATAATCAGCCCCAAAGCCTACTTTACTGTTACCCACATTAATAAAGGTATGACAAATGTGTTCGCCAGAAGACTTTCATTTCAAGCATAACATGCTCTATATTAGTTTGTAGATACTAATAAATACTAAATTATCCTAAATAAATAAATAAATATTTAAGGAATGTGAAAACTAGTTGTGTCTTGGTGTCCTTGGAAAAGAGAATTAGATGAATGCAACACTACGCATATCCACATGTACCTGAGTCCATGTAACATAGCAATTAGTTTCAATTCACTACTTGTGTTGTGAGAGTGAGTGAACCAAACGAAGAACAGCCTGCAATCTGTAATCATTTCAAAATAAGCAGTTTTTCTTCTTCCAGTTGCTTATACACTAGTTTCACAAAAGTGGGTTCTAATTTTTCATAAGAACTAGTTTACTTTTATATGGGAATCTAACAATCTAGTATAAGACAGCATAAATAAAACCAATTCATTAGCTTGTTCAGCTAGCTGCTACCACTGTTGCACCACATAACTTGTTGATACAGAATTCCAAAATGTATTGACGACAATGCCTAATTAATGACATCTGCATTTGAGACCACAAAGTGACTAAGAAAAAATAGACCAAACTTAAGTGAACACTGTTGACTATACCAAATTGTCACTAATATTTGACTTCATAATAACTTAACCTCGATAGCCTTTGTTTTGAAGTAACAGAAATATCAGTGCATTCTACTAATATTGTAGTGCAATAATTGAGCTAAAAAACACTCCATGCTGACTTCTAGTTAAGGTTTAAAATTTACGCATAACAAGTGCTATGTCTTTCATATACAACTAAATACTAGATTGGACCAGCAACTATTTTACAAGCAATGCTACAGGTAAATGCAAAATTAACAGTGGTGAGCATTTACCTAAAACAAGAGAACAAGTTTTGTATTACAATTACCAATTCACATGGCGTGCAGGGGCATTGGTTCAATGGTTAAAACTCAACTTGTCAACATTGAGGTTATATTAGGTTTGATCTTGAGGACAGCTACTTTGCAAAATTACGCCAAGAATTAGGTTTATACCCAATCTATCCCTCCTAGACACCATCTAATGGGACTAAACTGGGTGCATGTTTTTATCAGTTAAGTTAACATTGTGTGTTTCACATTTCCAATCAAGACAAACTGTAGTAGCTTCAATAGATGGCGGAAGCTAATCAACAAAAATAGTTCAAAGCGAGCAAACACTAACACAGAGAGACGATCAATATAGCAATATCATTGTCACATGCCAACCAAAAATAAATAAAACAAGAGATGAAATACTTATTACAACCACAAGCACTCATCATAATCCCATTGCTAACACCACATATAAAATTGAAGACAAAACAACAACACGATGCACTAATTATGATGGGACTGTGAGTGTTAACCTAGTGTACGATTACAGAGCAAAATCAAGTTTCAATTCATCATTCATTTTCAATTAGCATTTCTCATTTCTTTCCAACTAATACCCAGGCCAGACCAGATGCCAATCATGTTTGTTAAAGCCAACTAGATTAGATGGGGTTAGCATTCCTAGAAACCCTAAGGCTGTGTTTGGATCATGTCATTGGGTAGTAAATTGGATCATGTAATTGGGTAGTAAATTGGAAAGGAAACCCAAACCCCTATCCAAATCCATAATCCAAACATAGCCTAAGATTATCAATCCATTTCAAATTGCATTTCTTATCAATTTTGTAATTTAGCCAATTAGCCTCAACCTACCCCTCTTATTCAATAGTCCCATACATAGCCCCGCATATCTGACCCCAATTCCGTTATCCAAATGACATGGCCAAAAAAAGGTAGTAGCTTCAGCAAATTTATTCCAACAGATAGATAATAATAATAATAATAATAATAATAATAATAATAATAATAATGTCGATGAAAAACCCTATCTAGAGAAAAACTCAATACCTCGAAGAAGAAAATCATTCGGATTCAACCTTAGGACCTGAAAGAAAACAAAACAAAAATATCAATCGAGATACAAAATCATCGAGAGAGAGAGAGAGAGAGGAATACCGTGAAGGGAAGGGGGGCGGTGGTCCTTGCCCCAGCCTATGCCGCGGGTGGAGTCGAGGTACTGCTGAACAAGGTGGCGACACTTCTGGAGATGATTGACACCTTCGATGCGGTAGCACCATTTGAGCTTCTCGCGGATGATCTTGGCGGTCTCGATGTCGATCCACTTCTCTCTCACCAGGTGCTCCCTCATCTCCAGCATCGCCACAGGGTCCTTGTATGGATTCTCCGGATCGAAGTCGTCCGGCGCTCCTTCATCCAACACTACTCCCTTCTTCCTCCCCATCTCTCTCTCTCTCTCTCTCTCTCTTTCTCTCCCCCCTCGTCTACTTTCGACAAGACGACAGTGAAAAATGGGACGGTAAAGGCTGACTGGGTCGAAGTAATGTTATTAGGCCCAATACGAATGGGTTACAGGCCTAGGATAATGCAAGCCCATAGTTTAGTTGGGCTTTTTTTATTTTTTAGGAAAAAAAATTTCTTTTCTTTTTTTGTGTAAAATTTTTCCTATTTTTATATTTTGGGAGAAGTTTTTGGTTGGTTGACTAATGGAAGTAATTTATTTTATTTTTTTTAACCAAAAATATAAAAGGGAAAAAAGAAAGAGCTTTTCTTAAACAACAATGATTCATCCTCCTTTTCCTCTCACCCCCTTTGACCCCATCTCTCTCTCATTGGTTACATTTTCTTTTTCTTTTTCTTTTTTTTCCTGCTCCTCCAATCACCACCTGCCACGTAGCAAGGGGGTGAGGGGGTGACCCCCAAGAGGGGGTCCCAAACATTATTCTTTCTTAAATTATTATTTGTAATTTTTTATAGTTTATTTTGGATCTAGGGAATTTTTCTTAAATTCTCTAATATTAAAATTTTATAAGATAAAATATATGTAATATATTCATAGCAATTAGGATTTCTCAATATTTTTTTAAAAAAATTTTAAAATACAGAGAAAATTAAAAATATTTCTTCATACTTTGAAATTTATCTGAATTAAAAATTTTCCAATTTATTCACAAATTTCTGTCTCTGGTCTACTCACATTTTACTGTCCTCTGTTTCCGTAGTTGACGAGAATCTCCACGTATCTTTTGAATGGCTACAAGCAATCAAGCCAATCCAAAATCATATATACATTTATATATGTATATATATATAGAGAGAGAGAGAGAGAGAACTTGTGTTGAATCTCACCATTTTCAGAGATCTGAGAGCTCAGTTCAGCACAGCAAGAATGACTATGGAAGACGGAGAGACTATTGATCTTCAAATATGGCGATTTTGTACCAGTAATAACATAAAGAATCAACGAAATACTTGTCTCTGTTTTGGTGTTTGAGTTGAAGTAATAGGTTTCGTGTGAGATTTATAAGAAGGTTTGAAGAAAATGGAACAGAAACTGTTTTTGATGTCTGCCTCTGGTGTTGGGATTGGTTTGGCTTTAGAGAAATTTTGTGGGGGAGGATTTTAGATTTAATATTGTTGATTTTTTTGGCTTTCGAAGGTTATGACTGTAAATTTGAGCATGTCAGTAAGGATCAATCAGTCATTACAGAATATTAATTGCCAACTAATTATCAGACGATTGTATTTTAGTTCTTTCAGCCTCAATGAAGAGGACTTGTTTTGTTTATGAGAATTAAGCAAACAATTATTAAATGAAGAACAATTGTAACATTTCATTAAGTAAAATGGAAGATTTACAAAGATCCGAATTAACCTCGTAGAGGTTTATAGCGGCAAACTACTTGAAACTACTCCTATGAACGAAGTACAGTGCAGAAATTTGAAATACAAGAATATAAAGAATAAGAAATATAAAAACTGGAAGGAACATAAAGTAGATAAAACTGGTTTTTTGGATCTGAGTCTGGGGGCTTATTTCTGGGACCTTCTCTGCTATTTATACTTTTCAATGGTAATCGTCGAAATGAGCTTCTAACTGTCGAATCATCCCTCCATAATTGCTGATCATGTTTCCTCACAGTTAGCTCTACTACGCCATGTTTGCAATTAGGCTTCTCTCATAATATTTGAATTTAAATATAAGTAACCGTTAAGGCCATGTCATCTTGCACCTCTTTGCTGATTCCATACTATATAGATCCACAATAACCAATATTAACTGCCGCGTATGTGATTATGATTGAAGACTTGAATTGTTTTCCGTATTGCCCTCATCCTGTCACGTGTTGAACTGTGATTGGTTTATACAAAATATGTAGCCAACAAAATATATATATATATATATATATATATATTTATATAAATTTATGACCACCAATCATTGTCCAAAAAAAAAAAAGGAAAAAGAGAAAAATAAAGTTCATTTTCAAAACAATTGACACTACAATTAAGTGCTCTATTTCTTTTGTCTTAATTATAATTTTTTAGAACATTTACTCGTTTGGGAACATGCTATTTTAGTAATTTTTTGACTTTTTACGAAAAGATGTGCAGAAAAGTTGAGAGGTGATGTGACAACTTTTAGTAACTTTTTGGCTAAAATAGCCACTCAAAGATCCGAATTAACCTCGTAGAGGTTTATAGCGGCAAACTACTTGAAACTACTCCTATGAACGAAGTACAGTGCAGAAATTTGAAATACAGGAATATAAAGAATAAGAAATATAAAAACTGGAAGGAACATAAAGTAGATAAAACTGGTTTTTTGGATCTGAGTCTGGGGGCTTATTTCTGGGACCTTCTCTGCTATTTATACTTTTCAATGGTAACCGTCGAAATGAGCTTCTAACCGTCGAATCATCCCTCCATAATTGCTGATCATGTTTCCTCACAGTTAGCTCTACTACGCCATGTCTGCAATTAGGCTTCTCTCATAATATTTGAATTTAAATATGAATAACCGTTAAGGCCATGTCATCTTGCACCTCTTTGCTGATTCCCATATATATAGATCCACAATAACCAATATTAACTGCCGCGTATGTGATTATGATTGAAGATTTGAATTGTTTTCCGTATTGCCCTCATCCTGTCACGTGTTGAACTGTGATTGGTTTATACAAAATATGTAGCCAACAAAAATATATATATATATATTTATATTATGGATCACTCTCATTATTAAAAATTGGAAAGGAATGTTAAACTAAATATTCCATCATAAAACACGTATGAACTAAAGTGCTCTATTTCTTTTGTCTTAATTATAATTTTTTAGAACATTTACTCGTTTGGGAACATGCTATTTTAGTAATTTTTTGACTTTTTACGAAAAGATGTGCAGAAAAGTTGAGAGGTGATATGACAACTTTTAGTAACTTTTTGGCTAAAATAGCCACTCCCCAAACGAGGCCTAATACAGTTTGGATAGCGAATCAACCATCTCACACCTACATGAACCCAATTGGCTTGTAGATGAAATTCAAAACAAAAATAAAAATAAAAAAATTGCTAACATATAACAACATGAAGTAGAAATAATAAAATATATATTTTTGTGAAAATAAAAAATAATACTTTAAAAATATGAAAAATTAGTTTAAGGTCTCTCTCACATTTTTAGTAATTAAAGAGATTTACAATATTATTTTTTGATGTCTAAGGTCCCTAAACCCACACCCGTATATCAGATTAGAGAAATTTGTCCCTCTTTCCTTCCGATCTTTATTCTATCCAAACCAAACTCTCTCTCTTTGTGCACATTCCCCTCTCTCTCTCTCTCTTCATCTCTGACGCCACCGGCTTCATCTTCGCCTCTATCTCTACTACGCGCGTCGCTAGAATGCCATGATCTGAGCCTCAAATCGAGGATCGATTGTGGGTTGATTTCGCTCCCGAAATTATTGATTCGCTTCCCCGAAGTAGTGAGGAAGTCGCCGAGAGGGGAGAAAATGATGATGAAGAAGAGGAACACGACGGCGAAGAAGGTAGCAGAGACTAAATCTAGAAGGCACCAATGCCTAGGGTTGCACTTTGATGATGAGAGATTCAGGTGCCCCGCCATCTCTTATTTTGAACGAATTCCCAATATCTGATGTTAATGATCATATGGATATAGATATAGGATTGGGTGGTCTTAACCAGGCTTTGTTGCTTCAGAGTTCTGGAAATTATGGGTCTTTCTCTAAAGAGAAGGGAAATTTCTCTCGGTTTTTGCGATTTTTTATGAATTTCTCTGGGTTGCAAATGAATTTTCTTTAGGTTTTTGTGAATTTCTCTGAATTATGAGGGAATTTTTTATGGGTTTTTGTGAATTTCTCTAGGGTTGAAGTGAATTTCTCTAGACTGGAAGAATTTCTCTAGGTTGAAGTGAGCCCAGAGAAATTCTGGTAAGATTTTATTCGTGAAGTCGAATGTTCTCTGGTGTGGATTGAATTTTTGATTGAATTTCTCTGGGTTGGACCAGAGAAATTCTCTAGTTTGGAAATCTATAGTTTGTTTGTATATATTTCTTGGTTTCAATGCTCACTAACCATGATGTGTAATGGTTTGATTTTTGAGAAAATTTTAAGCTCATCATGAGATTACAGATGTTTGGGGTTTGAAAGATTCCGACTTGTTTGCAATATATGTTGAAAGAGTTTGAATCCAATGAAATTTCAATTTTCTCTGTGATATGTCCAGAGAAATTTGAAATTTTTTCTGTGATGTATTAAGAGAAATTATCTAGATCGATGTTGAGAGACTTTATACATTACAAAAATATTAAGTGTCATTTATGTTATAAAATCTTAATACTAGAGACCTTAAAAAAAATCTCTTTAAAAATATGCATGCATGGTGTCATGGCATATTATAGACAAATAATATATTTTTTTTTCAAATTACTAATTATTGAAGATTGTAAAAATAATAAATTATAAATAATAAAAAATTTAAAATTTATAAAATTTAAACCTCAAATCGATCGTATTCATCTATTAATTTGCACGATCCATTCAATTCGTATTCACCAAACTAATGAATTGATACGGATTAATTTTTTTGAACACTAGCCCTAACTCCATCCGCGATAACTCTAGTTAACAAGACCATAAAAGAAAGTAGGTTGACATTGACAAATACGAGGCGACACGTGAGAGAGAGTGTGTGTAAATGAATATAGGACCTGAGAGCTGTACCTCCTATTTTCTCGAAACACAAACAGGCTTTTCCACCAATCAAATAACTAAAAAATAAATTAAAAAAAGAAGCTATTTTTTTCCTTCATCTCTTCTCTTCCTAATTTCAATTTGAATGTGCAAAGCTCTCTCTCTCTCTCTATCTGTCTGTGTCCCTCTCCTCAGGTTCGTTCGTGTTTTCCGTATTCTCTCACATTTTCATGACACCATTTGATTTTAAAATGCTATTGGTACAATCTTCATTCTCATATATATATATATATAAATGCTGAATCACTGGGGTTTAATTTTCAAGTTCTATATGCAAATAGGGAAGGAAAACCTGAAAGTGTGAATTAATTTAATTTAATTGAGCATAAAACATAGCAAATGATGAAAAAGTATTTATGTAATTTATTCCACTTCATGGAAAAAAAAAGAAAAAAAAAAAAATTCATATAGCTTACCCCACTTGATTGAAACACAATTAATTTTGTTTGGTTTGATTATTAGTTGCATGAGGCGGGGGCAGGGTGGGAGAGCGAGGGTATATAGAAGTTTTTAAGATTGGGAGTGACCATAGAGTATATAATTTACATATTAAATATATACAATATATTCTAGTTTTTTATTTTTATTTATTTATTTTTTAGTGGTAATACACGTGGTAAAATATGAATAAATATTAGAGATTGACATATAAGTGGTCATTGTTAAGTACAAAATACATATTATGTAAATAGAAAGTATTAGAACAAGTTTGCGTTCTTATTTTTTATTTTTTGAGATTTGTATGTTTGAGAGGTTTTATCTTAGTTGGGAGAAAGTTTATTCCTCAATGGAAGTGAGTTTCTTTCTTACTTAGAAGCATGGAATCAAGTTTCTAAGTAAGAAAGGTCACCTAATTAGGATTTTTCGGCTAGTAGACGGTGGGATTGATCTCCCGGATTACTCGTTCCATTGGTCCAGATACTGAGTTATAAAAATAAAATTAAAAAGTAGGAGTTTCCGGTTACAAAGGTTTTGTTGGTATGTAATGATACATGCTAAGAAGCACATACATGGATACGGATATGGACACGGATGCGGGCACGGACATGGACACGCATGTGGACATGGAACACGACGATTTCAAAAAAAATGGAGACACAAATATGGCGGTGACATGGCAATAAAATATGTTTTCATATATTTTTATTTGCTATCTAGATTAATATTATATCTACAAACAATCAATATTAACAAAAACTAACTCTAATTCTATTTTTTCTTTAAAAGCACTTTTAATTAACACTTACAGTTTAAATCTTTTTTTTATGAATGATCTATTAAGTATTTAAATCTAAGAAATAAATAATAAACATTCCACATTCATCAAAAGCATTAAATAAAATGGGGAAAAAGACAACTTGGCATGTCCCTAGTGTGTCCTTGAAGTGTTCCTGGCATACCCCTGAAAATAAATTAATTAAATAAAGGGACACGCCATGTAGTGTGTCTCATACGTGTCCCCGAAGTGTTCATGTGTCCCCGAAGTGTCCATGTGTCCGACACGGATACAAAACTTATTTTGAAGTGTCAGTGCTTCATAGCATACATGGTTATATGAGGAGCATGCCAATATCTTGATAATTTGTGCCATATGAATATGGAATATTGATTTACAAATTCATTCTACCAATATCATTGGTTTTGGGTTCACATTTTCAAATTAATGAAAAAGTTTCTATCGTAATTGGGTTACAAATTTGTCTTACCATTGTAATACGTGTGCTACCTTCAGTTTGTCCATCTCGTGTTTTGAATTATATTCAGAAGCTTCTGAGTTTTATCTGAGCTTCAATCTAGCTTTAAAATTGGTGAATTTGATGGCGAATTTAGTTTGCAGTTACAAGTATTGCAAACTGGGTAACTGTTTTTGATGGGTTGCAACTTGCAAGCTATTATGATGTTTTATTGAGTTGGCTTTGAAATCTTTGATTTTTCATAATTATACTGCAGTTTCGTCTCATGGTTTTCAAGTTAATGTTCGCGCAAGTCAAGTGTTTGTAGAAAGGTTCTTGTGTCTCCTTAAGTGCAGGTATGTCAATTTGTTATTATATTGTACGTGTAATATATTTGTCTTATATTTGAAAACTAGCAGGGATATTGTTAGAGAAAATATTAAAGGTGATGGCATGGTGTTCTGTTTTGATAACAAAAAATAAAAAATAAGAATGAGAAACATCTTTAAAAAAGTAGGATGGTGTTCAGTTGATTCATTACTTTTGAGTAAACTGTCAAAATTATAGTTTTGAGAAGAGATTTTATAACTCTTGAGTTGAGGATGCAAATAAGTGCTTGCTAGACATTACTGAAATAATAACACGACATTACAACTCCAAGGTGGAATTTATTTACTTTTTTATCACGAGTGCCTCGCCTGGCAGCTTCAAGTACTCAAAACATTTTAACTGTAATGATTTAATACATGGCTCAAATTAATTTACGGTATTTAGTTATCTTTTTTCATTTTCTTTTAGTAATTATGTTAGTTCCAAAAGCTGGAAAATCGCGAAACATGTTAAAAAAAATGAGTCTACCTGAGCTGAGGGCATTGTCATGGATGATCAGCAATATATTATGGAATAGAAGATGAATGTATTTACTGTAAACTTGAGGTAGAACCAATTAATGACTAGATGGGGAAGAATTGTTTGGCATAGTTTTGCCATGTGCAACAAAAACTAGTGAATGTGCTGGAAGGAGTTAATTGAACAAGTCAACAGCTGTAAGGACAATATGAAGGCCACAAAGAAAAAATGTCAACGATGAGAAGATCTTGTTTTAAATCGCAGGAAATTGGATTCAAGGGTTTCTTTAGTTGATTCATGCTGAATCGTATGTTCTTTCATTTTTAATAGGTTCATTTATTTATGTACTTACCGCATTGTCAATGGCCCAAATTGGTAATAGTCTTTCACTATCATGATAGCACTTTCCCATTACTGGTAGCAGATAGGCGTATTTAGCTTCTTTTTTTTGTCAACAATTATGATCCAAAGAGTCTTCAATTCTATAATTGAAATTTTGTTTATTCATGTTATATCTACTTATTGGCAACCCGCAACCACATTGTGATGATTTTAAATTTTGGGCTTACAGGATTTTGCTCTTCCTGGACCTTATCTGCAGGTTACAGATAGCTTTCTGTTATTTTTTATGATCAACTAGATCAGAAGTCTCTTCTTTTTTTTTTTCTTTTTTTTTTGGGGGGGTCAAAACATCATGCCTTTCTGATTGTACCATGTTTAAATTCTTGAGCTGTGATCCCAGATGTCTCACACAAGTATATTATAACGAATTTTACAATGGATTACCAAGCAAAGGAAGATGGGATACCTAACAGCTCGAGTGTACCTATAAGTAGTGATGCTTTTGAACATACAAGAAATAGTAATGGTGAGGCCCAACGTAAGGAACATTGAATGTGCCCATAATTTGCTGTTTTTCACTGGTACACTAAGCTGATTTTTGTTTTCTTTTTCCCTCCCTCTTCTTCTTCTTCTACAGTTAAGCAGCAGGTGGATTTGGTGGTATGGTTAAACAGTATTCTTCCTAATTTATGTTTGCCAACAAATGCTACAGAAGAGGACTTAAGAACTTATTTGAGCAATGGCACTGTTTTATGCCGGCTTTTGAACAGGCTGAGGCCAGGTTCTGTGATTGAGGTTGTCAAATATTTTTGAGTGGATTATATTCAGTTATAGTAAGGTCTAAGATTGTTTGTTGTTGTAATGATTGTTCTCTTAATGTGCTTTTTCTCTTCTAGTGTGGAGGTACTGAGCATTCTCGCTCAGAAAATATAAGAAGGTTTTTGGAAGCTATGGATGAAATGAAATTGCCCAGGTTTCAAATGTCAGACCTAGAGAAGGTGTTTCTATTTACACGTTGAACAAATATGAGTGACATGTCTGAACAAACTTGCACCACCATATACATGTATTTTGTACATAATGAGATGAGACACAAAATACGATTCTCTTGAATATTTCACTTGCTGTTTTATGTTCCCCAGACCTCTTTTTTGTTCTACTCAATACTTCTCTATTTTTCTCTGGTGTTTACTTTTACTTTTATTCAATACAGGGATCCATGAAATTTGTTTTGGAGTGCCTTCTCACACTTAGAGCTCAATACATGCCACATAGTGGTCGACATAATCTTCCTAAGCCTAGCTCACTCAATAAATGTAGAAGTGATGTTAGTACAACATGGCAACTTCTAGGACCATGTTTTCGAGGCAGTGATTGTTCTAGAGGGGGAGTATCTCCTCAAGTAGATTCTCCCACATTATCTGGAGAAGATAGTTGGAAGGGTGCTTCTCGCTCAAAATTTCATCGCTGTATGAGTAGTCCTGTCGTTGCAGGTATCTCTCTCCCTCTCTCTCTCTCTCTCTAACACAGTTGTGTTGAACCATGAGAGAAAAAATTGTTGTTGTACGAGCCTAGCATGATCTTATGCTGAGTACAAAGACTTGGATCAATTTGTATGCTACCTGGTTTTCAGCAGTTATGCATGCAGGTGTGTTATATTATATGCAATACATTGCCACAAGGAATATGATTTGATATAGTATGCTTTGGAAATTATAAATTCTTTATGTAACGTATTTCAAACTAATAAATAATTTTGATATTGTTTATTGTTGTATTCAAATAGAATGCAGTCTTTTATAAGCAAACATGGCCCGTAATATGTACCATTTAGTTTCCTGAGTACTACAAGAAATTTTTGCCATTCAATTTTTTGATGCTTGATTTCTTGCTTCCCCTTCTGTAGAGGCGTCAGCTGCGTTGAAACATCATGCAAGACATGAGTTCCATGAAGTGTTTCAGTTGAAACAAGGATGCTATGCAGATCTTCCTGATGAGAAGATTTCTGAAATGATGAAATCAAACAGTTTGGATGTAAGTTTCCACGTCCTATCACTTGGCCATTGTTTTGATTTCTGTCTGTAAAATTTTTAGTTTGTGCTTTGTTAAACTGTTTCATCATCTCTTCTCTGCAGAATGCACCGACTCAGTCTCTCTTGAATCTTGTCAATGGAATTCTATATGAAAGCGTTGAAAGCAATAATTGGAAAATACCTCCTGTAGGGAAATAAGAAGTGTTAACTAAATGTATATTGTTATTAATATATGCATGTTTACTTCAAAAATATGTTCTCACATTTTAGATTGCTTTCTTTCCTCAGCGCATGGCAGGTCTATTGAGAAAAGTTATGCAGGCGATTGAGCGACGTATATCTGCTCAAGCAGAACACTTGAGAAATGTAACAACCACTATACATTGTTTCTTTTACTGGTTTTTATTGACTTCTCTACGCTCCTTTATTTATTGTTTATGACTACAGCAAAACAATCTTTTCAAGTCTCGTGAGAAGAAATACCAGTCAAGAATTAAAGTACTTGAAGCCCTTGCAATTGGGTCTAGTGAAGAGCCAAATGTAAGATACAGTTTTTTTTTTCTTCATAATTATTGTGCAAACATAGTGTTTATGTGCATTAATTCATCAAATGAGATTTCCTTGTTATAGATTGTCAACCAAACTTCCTTCTTTGTGCTTTCTCCCTATGTACCTTTTTGTGTCCAGAGAAGAGGGGTATATTTTTTATTCATCTATAACCTTGAACTGCCTATATTTGATCCTCTCCTTGGTACCATGCATTGCTGACTATCCATTTACTTTCATGTTTTTCTTACTGAATGTATGGAGCTTGTAATAACATATTATACTAGACAATACCTTCATGAAGCAGGGGTGGGGGTGAGGGTACATAGAAGATAGGGGTGAGCATGGTCCGGATCAAACTGGTTTGGGATGACATTAAGACCAATCAGTGAACTACGGTTCCTTAAAAATTAGAACCAATCCGAACCATTTAAACCATGAAACCAATCTGAACCAAACTATTTAAACACATATCAGTTTGGTTTGGAACCACGGTTTCACATAATAAAAATCATATAACATTGTTCTAAAAACATTCAATATGTAGCAAATAAATATAAGTTCATCATCTAACAAATAAACATAAGTTTAACATATAGCAAATAAAACTCTTATTTAACAAATATTTTGTTGTGACAATAATAGTTACAAAACTAAACTTATGCGAAATCAACCTGTAATATTAATAAATTGATTATTGATAGTTAGTAGTACTTCGATTGAGAGCAACACCTCTTTTTTTTCTTCGGAGGGTTCCTTATTTGGGTTTGTGAGAATATATTAGGGATTTTATGTATATATGATAGTATATAAGTCGTATTTCCTTTTTCGTTCTAGAGTTTGTGTAAGAAATAATGTATAGAGAAAGAGAGAGAATAAATTGTATGTATTATTAAAGTGGGTGAAGTAGGTGGAGAGTAGGTGGATTTTAACAGTTTGATTGTTATATAAACCAATGTATCCTTGTATTACGTAAACAATTGTTAGATTGTCTTACATGGTACCATATATACATAAAATCCCTAATATATTCTCACAGGGTTGTATATATAAAAGGTTGGGATTGTATGCAGCAAGGTGTATGATATAATGGTAGGGTGGGATAGGAAACGGTCCGGATTGGATTCAATTCGGAACCATGTATCATAATTCAGAACCAATCCGTAAACAACGAATTGCTAATTTTTCAAACCAATCCGGAACCACGGATTAAAAATATCAAACCAAACCTACCGAATTGGACTGGACCAGTTCAGAATGCAGATTTTTCGGTTCACTTGCTCACCCCTAATAGAAGACTCTAAGTTTGGGAGCGCATGTTTTATCTATAAATCTCTTATCTCTTGTTTTTATGTTTTGTAAAATTATCTTTTAATTCATCAAAATCATCCTGATGTATTACGAGACTACACACAATAAACAACCCACAGCCTAATAGCCCACAATCTACAGCCTGATGTATTATCTTTTTTATTTACATCACTTTCCACTTTTTTTTACTTATATTCTCCATAGTTTTTATTGGGTCAATTTCCCTAAAATAAATAATATTTAATAGTAATTTAAATTGTTGAGATCCCGCCCAACTAACCGTCAACTTGACTGGACCTGTTCCGTGCCTTCCATTTTTTGAGTTGCGGCTCTCCCTACCACCACCTCCATACCCTACCGCCATTCATCATTGTTGAACACCCTAGTTTTCTTTGATCATGAATATTGTGTGGTTTGATTTACAGATCTTTGAGTACAACCATAAAAGTGATTGTCAGCAAGAATTTCATAGCCATTGCTGGTGGCCAGCATTCAGTTTCAAGAGATCTTCAGACTCGGTAAGTAATTTCTAGATTTTTACTCTGTTTTGTTGATGTTAATTTTTGGTATCTCTTTGATTTTTCATAAATATCTTTGACTTTAGGGTATATCTTTCATTCTCATTATGGTTTTGCTTGATTTTTTGCCGTCTCTCCCATCCTAGGTTGCGTCATGTTTCTGTCCCTGGATTGAAACACATTTCTAACATGATTCAAGCTCTGAACTGCAGACTGCAGTTCTAGAGCGGGAGTGACAAATCTATTTCTTTTTAGGGAAAATGCTAGTTTTTTTAAACTACAAGAGAGGTGTTTTTTTTTTTTTTTTTTGGTTTAAATATGATACACTAACAGGACAAAAATGCCATAAAGGTGCTTGGTTGGATTATCACCCACAAAACTTCTAAGGCATTTGGAATATTGACACAGTAACAAGCTAGTAAACAACTTATCTACCAAATAGGTTCAATTTTTTCATATCTTAAGTGCACCAAACAATTTTGCAACTTATTCAAAAGTTTTTAAGCTAATAATCTAAAAGCTTGATTTTAAGTGTTGTCAAACAGGATCTTTGATCTTTTAGCCAAACAGGATCTTTGATCTTTTAGCCACTTCCTTTTCGTTATGCTTTTTGTTTATGTACCTTTTTGTGTCCAAAGATGAGAAGGTATGTTTTTTATTCATGGGGCACTGAGGCACTCAATCGAGCATCACTCTGCTAGTGAGGAATTTTTACGATATGTGTTTGATGGTGTAGAGGATAAGCTTGATTGCCATGGGATTATATTCTTGCCAAGAAAGGGTTGGCTTAGCCACAGTTCTTTTCTTTGGAGAGGTACCAGAGAAGGAACTTGGACTCCTCCTATATGTACATTGAATGGATTGTCAGGGGATGTGACTGTAGAGAAGATTTTTGCCAAGGATCCTAGGCTTTACCTTCCAAAAACCAAAAACAGGAATGTTGATAATCAAGGCCCCTGCTTTGCTTATGCAAAGAATGACGTGCTCAGACATTTAGCAGGCATGGGTGTTTCAACTGCTGGTGGGGCAAGTTTGGCAGAAGGTGAGAGGCAGAAAACGATGGTGGTGGGGGGAGTTCCTCCCAAGTTGGGGTGACACTACTGTTAAAGTGCTACATTCTACAGCTGTGGTCTGTCAAGATAATGCGTACACACAACACACAACACATAACAAGGTTGTATTACATCATGGGTTTCTGCTTATAATGATTGTTGATTATTATTTGAATTAATTAAAAAAAAATTATATTGTATGATTGGATTTTGTATATTTATTCAAATTTGATTAAAATTTTAATTATATTCCTAGCTGGATGACTGTGCGATTTGTTGACTTGATGTCAAGTAAGACTACAACTAAAGAAAAGCCTGCCTTATGATTAAAATCTTAATTATATTCCCAGTTGGTTACGAAATGATCGGACTTATATATCGTATTTGCTTAAGAAAAAAAGATGTCAACATTTGCTAAAATAATTTATTTTTTCTTCTGCATTGATTATTTTGGGGGCTTTTTCCTTCATTACAAACTGAGAAGATCAAAATGGAAGAAGAAAAAAAGAAACATGAAGAACAAGACATCATTAGATTGGTGAAAGAAAATGATCAGATTAATCGTGAAAAGTTGGCGTTGAAGCAAGAACTGGAATTGGCTAGGAAAGCATATGAAGATTGCTGCGTAAAAATGGAAACAAAAGCTAAGGGAGCTGAACAAGAGCTTGAGGTGAGGTTGAAGGACGTTATGCACCTCCTAACAGAATCTAGGAAAAGGGTAAACGAGCTTGAGGCATATTCTGAGTCAAAAAATCTGCACTGGAAGAAGAAAGAGCACATCTACCAAAGATTTACAGAATTCCAGCTTGGTGCACTACAGGTTTGCTTTTGTCTTAGTGCTAATCTACATTCTTTTGTATGATGCCTTACATTTTATTTGAATTTATCAAATCGTTCAGGAATTGAGGCTTGCTTCTCAGTCAATCAAGCAGGACATTTTGGAAACACAAAAGAGCTATTTGGATGAATTTCATCGCTTAGGTGGGTAGGTTATTTACAAGTTCCTGTGAATTCATTGTTATATGTAATGACAATGTTCATGTTTAACTTCTACCTTATTCAGAAAAAAGTTATAAAACTTTGGTAGATGCATCAGAAAACTATTATGCAGTTGTTGCGGAGAACAGGAAGCTGCATAATGAGGTTCAAGAATTAAAAGGTGCCAGTGCTTTATTTTACATTGCAAAATAGTACGTGGATAAGGTTCTATATTTTCACTTATGCATATTCTTGAACAGGAAATATTAGAGTTTATTGCCGGATAAGGCCATTTCTTCCTGGACAGATGGGGAAGGAGTCAACCATAGAGCATATTGGTGAAAATGGGGAGCTAAATGTTCTAAACTCCTCCAAACAAGGAAAAGATGGTCATCAGTTATTCAAGTTTAATAAGGTCTATGGTCCAGACACAACTCAAGGTTTTCATCATTATATTTTGCAAATTTGTACATGATTTGATTTCAAACAGTTTTTGTATAACTGATAATGGTACTAGCTAAATGTTATCATGTTTTATGCGACTTAAATATGTTCTCTTACATGAGGAACATTGCGGGGTGTGACAATTTACATCTTTGAATGTTGGCAGCGGAAGTGTATTCTGATATCCAACCTTTGATACGATCTGTTCTTGATGGATATAATGCATGTATATTTGCATACGGTCAAACTGGTTCAGGGAAAACCTACACAATGGTATTAATCCCTTTTATATTTTCATTCATAAATATATGTTTTACAGATATTGCTAACCATTACTTAATGCATCTAATATTTTCCTTTCAGACTGGTCCTGATGGAGCATCTGAAGAGGAATGGGGTGTCAATTATCGAGCTCTAAATGACCTTTTCCATATTTCTCAAACTAGAAGAAAAATATTTGCGTACGAAATTGAGCTTCAAATGGTAGAAATATATAATGAACAAGTGCGTGATTTACTATCAAGTGATGGTTCCCAAAAAAAATATCCTTCTCTGTGTTCTTATGTTTTTTTAATCTCACATTAAGATTTGTTTTACCCATAGATGTGTGCTTTAGTTTTGGCTTGGCTTTGTCCACCTTCAATGATACCCTCACAATGGCCTTCTCCCTCTCTCTCTCTCTCTCTCTCCCCCCCTCTATTGATTAAGTATTTTTATTTTTTATTTTTAAAAAATTTATTGCTGAAATTATCAGCTTTCTGCATTTTTTATGATGACTTAGCAATCATTGTCTTATTTGGGTTTAGTTAAATGAAGGATGCAGTAGCTCTTATATATATATATATATTGTTGAATATAAAAATCAAAATATTATGTTTGAATATGGAAATTAGAATAGGAATTATTTTGATTATAGGAATCTTACCTTGTGTATATTGTTTTCTAAATTATATCATGAATATGTTGTATATACATGGCCTCTACCTCATTGATTGGTAAGTCAAATAATTCTTTTCATTCTTTTTGGTATCAGAGCCTCCCTAGCCGTTTCTCTCTCAACCACCCATCACCTCCAACTGCTTTTTTTCTTCTCTCTAGCCTCTGACAGCCCTTTCCAACTCCTTTTCTCCCTCCGACAGCCTTAGCTCAGCCTCAACCCAGCCCTCACAGCTCCTCTTATTCCTTGTCTTCACCTCGGTAGGCCTTCTTTATCCCTGCTGAGGCTCTGGTTGCTGCCGACTAGACTTGGTTCTGGTCTTACATGCTTCGGTTGCCTCTTTAGGTGCTCTGTGGTTGTTTTTTTCCCCTTCTTGGGGTGATTGGACTGATGTATCAAGCCCTTTTGTCTGTCCTTTTATTTTTTTGGGCCATTTATTTAGATAAGCCGTTGAGTTTTTTCCTACTTATTTTTTCTTGGACTGTGTTGCTATCTTTGTGTGTTTTTCAGCCCCTCTTCTTCCACCATGACTGATACATCCTTTGCTTATATACCCACCAAGCTTGTTCCAATTAGTTCTGATTTTTCTCTTTCTCATCACACTCCGGTTCATCATATTACGAGTGTGGTGTTAAATGGAAAAAATTTTGCCGCCTGAAGCCGCTCCCGTAAACTCTATTTAGGGGGCAAGGGAAAAACTCATTGGCTTTTATCTTCCACTACCCAGCCTGCTGCAACAGATCCTACACGTGCGCAGTGGGATATTGATAACTATTCCTTTCTCTTTATTTTGTGATAACAAATCTGCCATTGTGTTATTCTTTGATTCTATACTTCATAAGTGTACCAAACATATCGAGATTGACATATATTTCATTTGAGAAAAGATTCGTACTGGCATCGTGCGTCCATCCTTTGTCTCTTCTTCTCAGCAGTTGGCAGATATGTTCACAAAATTTGTGGGACCGATTTTGCTCCAATCTTCCATTGACAAGCTGTGTTTGTTGAATATCTTCACGCCAGCTTGAAGGGGAGTGTTGAATATAGAAATCAAAATATTAAGTTTGAATATAGAAATTAGAATAGGAATTATTTTGATTATAGGAATCTTACCTTGTGTATATTGTTTCCTAAATTGTATCATGAATATATTATATATACATGGCCTCTACCTCATTGATTGGTAAGCCAAATTATTCTTTTCATTCTTTATATATATATATATATATTTGCAATGAATCTTTGTTTCCTTGATTTGCACACACTTGGGATTTTGTCTACCTCCCAACCCAATGGGTTAGCTGTCCCTGATGCTAGCTTGCACCCGGTCAAATCAACCTCTGATGTAGTGGATTTAATAGAACTTGGATTGAGAAATAGAGCTATGGCTGCCACTGCCTTGAATGAAAGAAGCAGTCGTTCACACAGGTTGGTTTGTTTGTTTTTTATTTATTTTTTAAATATTAAGTATTTATGCTAATTATCTACATGTTCCCATTATGTCATGATTTTCTCGTGGATGTGTGCAACAGTGTTGTCACTATTCATGTTCATGGGATAGATATGAAGACTAGTACTTCGTTGCGAGGTAGTCTTCATTTGGTAGATCTTGCAGGAAGTGAAAGAGTAGATCGCTCTGAGGTAACTGGTGATAGACTCAAGGAAGCTCAACATATAAACAAATCTTTGGCTGCCCTTGGAGATGTCATCTTTGCTTTGTCACAAAAGAGTCCTCATATTCCGTATAGAAACAGCAAGCTCACTCAAGTCCTTCAAAACTCTCTAGGTACTTCTTGTTTATTCCTTTTACTTTTGAAATGCACTGAATGGCTTAATATTTTCCGCAAGTAGGTTTCTTTGTATTTCTCAATGCTATATGGTTTGGAAGGCATTTTTTTTTTTTTTTGCATGCTTTTATCTCGTAATGCCACTTGCTTTATTTTTTAGGTTACCCTGCTTATGTAGCTATTCCCATAAACTGTTTGATACAAGTAGGTTTAATGATTGATGACATGGAAATTTTTGAATTACGGAAAATATTTGATCATTGAAACATCTTATGTCTAAGAAGAGGGGGTGTGGGTTATTTGGACATTTTGTAAGTGGGAAATTGAGGGGAGAGCATAATGGTTGTCTGGTAGATAGTATAAATTCTTCTTTTTAATTTATATTTTATTATTTTTTTACATTTAATGTTACAGGTGGTCATGCGAAGACCCTTATGTTTGTGCAGCTTAATCCTGATTTGCATTCATATGCCGAAACTACAAGTACCTTGAAGTTTGCTGAGAGGGTCTCTGGAGTTGAATTAGGTGCAGCACAGAGCAACAAACAGAATGGGGAAATCAAGGATTTAATGGAACAGGTGAATTTAATTTTTATTTTTCCATTAAATGTCCCTTTCATCAGTGATCTTGATCTTCTTCTTCTTCTTTTTTGAGCTTATGCAGGTTTAAAATATGTCTCTTCATACACAATCCCTTCTACTGAAACTTTTTTTTTGAATCTTACACGTGGAAGAAACAATTTTTGCTAGAACAATTCGAAAAAACCTAGTCACAGAAATAAATTAGTATGATAGGTCTCATAGGAGTCGTAACTTTATTGCCACCTTAAGATCTGACAAACTTAAAATCAAATCTTCTGTTACGTATTCATCCATTCTTTTTCTGATTTGTTATCTATGGTAGAACTGTTGCGGAAACACAAGAAAGTCCATTAGTCTTCTGCTATTATTTCCTTGATTTACTTGTGCAAATTATCACCATAGCAAAGCTAATGAGAAAAAGTAAGTTTGCATAAATGAATAAAAGAGAAAAATATTTTTTTGCATAAAAAGTTATAATATAATTTTTTTTAAAAATATTAATGAGTACATTTTGCAAATGAATATATAAAAATAGCGTAAGTTATAACAGGAAAAAGAAATTCTACTAACAGAAAGTGTCAAGTAGAAAACAGATGACTGGAATGTTAATGAAAAATAGAGCAAATTAGCCTCTTTTGAGAAACATTACCACATTCTTAAAGTCTCTCTACACACGAACCCTTTTGTCTGCATCTTGCATCATAAAAGTATGTTTCAAAAATTCTTCATAGAACCCATGTTCCTTGCTGTCCTCTTGGATCAAATATTACCTTTTGTTTTGTGGAAATAAACCATGTGTTTTTCTGATTGATTGTTCATCTGTGTACATATGCCCCAATGGATTATATTTCTATTGCATTCTCTTCCACATCTATTTTCCTGTTTTACCATCTAAATAAATTTTAAACATTACCCAACTAGAAAAGGGGGGTGTTTTCGTCCTCAGGGAGTACATATTCTAAATTCCAACAAATTTCTGGTGTGTTGCCTTCAAAATTTTCGAATATGCAGGTGGCATCTCTCAAAGACATAATTGCAAAGAAAGACGAGGAGATTGAACGCTTGCAACTTCTTAAAGAACCCAAAAGTGTTCACCAACATGTCAATAGTGAGAAGCATGTGTATGGATCTTCCTCTCCCAGAAAAAATTTCATAGGTGGGATTCCTCCACAAACCTTAAAATTGTCTGGTGGGAATGGCTCAGGACTTACTGAAGCTGCTTCCGATCACCACAACTGCTTAGATTATAGTGATAAGGATTCTGAACTTAGTCCTCGGCAGTCCTTTGACATGTTTAAACACCAAAAGGAACCTGTCAGGCAATCAAAACCTGCCAGAGGAAACAGAGGTCGGAACATTTCTGTAGATTCTGAGATCTTAGGATTTGGTGATACAGAAAATAAGGACACATTGAGTGGCATATCTTGTAGTGGTCTTTCTGCTGGACCAGACATTGATCGCCTTGCGGAGTCAAATCATTCCTCTAAAGGTGTGAAACCATTGGAGAACACAGACAAGTAAGTACTACTTACATTTTAGATGCTTTCCCTGAGAATTCTCTCACATGGTAACTTTTGTTGAAGTTAGAAGAGGAAATATTTTGAACACTTTTTTTCATTTTCTTCTATATAAGAAAAATAAATAAGAAGTTCTAGGTTGGTTTAGCTGTGTATGAGCTTTTTCAAATAAAAGTTTAGAATGGAAATAATGGGTTAAATTAAGAAATAATTGGTGACAATGTACATGTTTTTCTTTTCCATGCTACTTGATGCCTTAAAAAGTTAAATCATTGTGCATATTCTCCTAAAAAAAATTCTTCTCTTTGGTCATATTATTGTGGTACAATTGGAGTCAGGCACAAATTTAAGCAAGAACACACACAATAATACACATTCACATGGTTAACTAACAAGATTGCCTATGTCCACAGAATGAGTAAGGACACAATCAACAGATGGAGATAAAATGGGATTCTCGACCTTTCTGCCAAACACACTGATACAAAAGAATATTCCAAATATGCTCATATAAAAAGTACAAGATTGTTCAGCATACTTGCCATTTAATGAAATATGTTTGTAAAACATGTTTATGATCTAATCTTTCATCAAGCAATGCGGTTAGCCCATTGGCCAAGACCCAAGAGCCGCTGCACCTTGCTTGGAGGTCAGGGTTTTGACTCTCTCCATCTATATTTGGGTCTTTCCCCCCCTCTATTTCTTTGGTTTTTTTTTTTTTTTAAATTTATATTATTCTATATTACACGAACTTTTCAAAATAAATCAGACACTCGGACAAGGGTATGGGATGTGTCGGCTATTTTTCAACGGACACTTTGTATAATAATAATTGTATATAACACTATTATTATACGTTTATATTGTTATATAATTGCTATAAATGCCTTTTTGACACTGCAAATTACATGTAGCACCATTTTATCTCACATATTTGATTAAAAATATAAAAATATGATATATTTTTGCCGAGTGCACGTATCTTTAAATTTATGATTTGATAAGTCTGACTTCTAGATACATAACCGCACCCGACACCCGTACTCGAGTCCATGTAACATAGATTTTATGTGATTGTTGGGCTTGTTGTATACTTGCGATAATTTGTTGGACTTTCCTACGTAATTGAATGCTCTATCTGATGTAAAACACAATATTTGTAATTATCTCTAATCGATTGACAAAAAAATCTTAACATTTTCCCATTCATTATTAAGGTCTCGTTTGGCAACAGGCCGGTTTAGCTAAAAAGTCAAACAGTTACTAAAATAGTAAAAAAGCCAACAACCCATACCAAAAAGTCAAAGATTCTCTTTTCTCTCTACTTTTTGCACATCTTTTCGTAAAAAGTCAAAAAGTCATCCCAAACATATTAGTTTTTTTTAGCTCATATTTTAGTCAAATAGTAAAAAAATTACTAAATTAGCCTGTTCCCAAACGAGGCCTAAATGTTGGAAATTGGAATTGCATGGATCATGTCAGTTCAAAAACCAAATCCATAAACTGGGTTGTGCTCACAAAATTATTTTGCAGGGTCAAATTTGCGCAGAGAACTCCCAGAGCCCCACCAAGACCACACAAGAGCTCAGCAAGTATGCAAAATGAGTACTTATTAACTATTGTTCGACTTACTCTCCATTTGTTTGGGAAATGTTTTCTGCATTTTGTGACATTTGGAAAACGAAAATCAATAGAAAATGTGTTTTTGTTGTCAACAGAAAACATGCTTATTTGAACAAAAAATATTATCCACTTTTGAAAGGTAGAAAACGTTTTTCAAATTAAAGTCTCACCAATGCCACTACACTACCACAACCACCATCATCACCTCCATCACCCCGCCACTGCCAAGGTCACGGCCACCATCACCTCAACCATGCTCACCCCACCACCATTAATACAATCACTAGTATATTAATTTCAAGGACTCAACCAAACATAGGAAAACACTTTTTATATTTTCTGAAAATAGTTTTCCATAGATAATGTTTTCAGCTGAACTGAAACAAAGGGAGCGTTAGTGGATAAATGCGCTGATCCATTCTGAGCATTTTGTTGTCAAGCCATTGATCTCTAACCACCTTGCTACCATTGTTTTCAGGCTTGAAAAAATCTGCTAGTGGAAGCAGTCTATCAGGGTTATCAAAATCTTCTAGTGGAAGCAATTTATCAACCAAGGCTTCCAAAAGGTGGCAATAGGAGGTAATATTTGCACATATTGAACTTCATTTATTTATTTTTTTCTTTTTTAGCGGCTGTGCTAAATTCAGTCGGTTTTGATTGTTGTGAAGTGTACTGAGTTCTCCACCTCTCTTTTATTTTCATTTATTTTTTATTTTTTATTTTCTCGTTTCATTCCCACAACAGGCAGTTCTATATTATTTGCTGTGAATTGATAAATTTTGGAACTGTAATGTAAATTATTGTAAAAAACATTCTTTCAGATCATGTTCATATTCGAGCAAGCTGAAAACAGATTTTATTAAACGTAATATTCTCTCTTTGTTATCTTGTAAAACGAACTAAACTACTTGAGTTCGACTCGTTATTATTTTGTTTTAGATCTACTCGTTATATAAACGTGTCAATATTCAACATATTTTTGAGTTCATTAAGTTTCTAAGCTAAACTCGAACAACCTATTATACTCAATTTGATAAATTTTCATGCATTATTAAAAAGTCAAACTACTTGAGCTATGTTTGTCATCAGCTTGATTTAAAACTCATTTAGAATTGGTTTGAATGATAAATATGTCAATATCTCAAACACAAACATTTTTAAAAAAAAAAAAAACTGCAAATGATAAACTAGAAGTCCAAAAACATCTCAGAATATATAAATGAATGTTTTATTACTATAAATATGAGAAAACCACTAAACTAATCGATGTTGATTTGCCTAATTATCCATGATGATAACAATATATACGCAATCAAGCTGCCGAAGTAAACATGTCATTTTAGGGTTATTGGATGTGCTAGATCTTCCATGGGCATTAATGCGGGCAGACTGAATAGTTGATCTCGACTTCATATCAGGTGTTGGTGTCATGTTGATTTGATCTAATATAATGTCGGTGCAAGATATGTTTGAACTGTAGCTGAGTTGGATCGCATCTACTGTTTCAGTTGTTCCACGAAATCCGGTAAATGAAATATCGTTGATTTCTAGTGCCGATGCCTGCCATCAAAATTTTGTTAAACAAAGATCAATTACATCATTAGTAACTAAAAAATGATAAATAATAACAACATATGTACATAATTTTTTAAAATATTGATAATAATGTATATACTAATCCAATGTGTATGTTTTTACTTGATTTTTGCGAGTGTCATGTAGGTAACAATACTGGTCATTTAATATGGGGTTGCGCACAAATGCAAAAAATTAAATATACAAATTTGAGAGAAAGAATAGCGGACAAAATATATAATAAGGCAAACAAAGTTAAATTAATTATTCAACCTATCGTTCAATTTCATTTAAGATGTAGATTATACCATACAAAAATGAGAAAAATCAAGAGAGAAGTCAATAAAATAAAAAGTATCTTTTTCACTTTTTTTTTTCTCCCCCTTTTTGCAAATTCACCCTCAAATTCTTAATTCAAATAGAGCTTAAAATGATTTCGATTTTTAAAAGGTGAAAAAGGTTTTTGAACCATTTCTGCCGCTACCGCCACCTTATCCCACCCCACTTATAAAATATGGCATAAATAATATCATATGATATTTCGAACGACAATGATAAGTAGCTCAAATTTTTGTGGTAAAATATTGATAATAATGTATATACTAATCCAATGTGTATGTTTTTACTTGATTTTTGCGAGTGTCATGTAGGTAACAATACTGGTCATTTAATATGGGGTTGCGCACAAATGCAAAAAATTAAATATACAAATTTGAGAGAAAGAATAGCGGACAAAATATATAAGGCAAACAAAGTTAAATTAAATTATTTTCTAAATTAAATTATTCAACCTATCATTCAATTTCATTTAAGATGTAGATTATACCATACAAAAATGAGAAAAATCAAGAGAAAAGTCAATAAAATAAAAAGTATCTTTTTCACTTTTTTTTTTCTCCCCCTTTTTGCAAATTCACCCTCAAATTCTTATTTCAAATAGAGCTTAAAATGTAGACCGTGTAATGAGCCCATGGGCCTCTAACTATACTGATTTGGGCTGTAAGTCTTTGTAGGCCCTTCGCATGGACCTTTTCAGTATCACAACCTCAAAAGGACCCAAATAATCTTCAAACTAATCTCGAAGTCCAATTTGGACCCTTCTGATCCCTTTTTCACCGTCCGATTATTTCCTCTGCTACTTCCATTTTCAAATAATCTCTAGGAATCCAATCAAATTTATGGTTTATTACAGCCACAAAAAAACTGTGTAAAATCCTAAACTTATTACATATCATTTTTCTCTCCACAAATTACAAATATATCTCTTAAAATTGGTTTAAAATACGATTTGTCTTTTATAATTTTTACAATTATATCCCGTCTCTTGAAATTTTTAATTTCATAACAAATTATCTATTTTCTTAATAATTTGTAATGATATCAGAAATTTATTTCAATTAATAATTTAAATAATTTTATTATTTTATAAAAGAACAATTAGAAATTTTATTTTTTCAGTTAACTTTGTTATGTAAAAATTTTGACAATAAGATATTTATAATTTTTCAAATTACATGAAATAATTCGTATTTTAAACAAATTTCAAATGGTATATGTATGACTTGTTTGGTTGTTCTGGGTCAATATTTATCTTTTTGAGAGAGAAACAAACAAGGCTGTAGATAAGAACAAGACAAGACATGAAATTCCTTTAATCGCCCTTGCAATATTTGAACAACAGGTTATGAAAAACTTGAAGACCAAAATTTTGTAATTTCATCCTAATGGAAACACATGCAGCTGCCGTTTTTGAATATGGAGGATATTAACAAATTCCAAATTCCGTATAAAAAAATAAAAATAAAGAATACTTTTTTTCTTTTGATTTTGTTCTGACAATATCTCTTTTTATCCCATGGGACGGGCTAGGTCAATTGGTGCTTATCGATAAAAACAAATTAATTTATGATAAATTATCAATAAATCTTAATAGTTAGAGTTAATTTTTATCAAAACTTATTAAAAATAAGTTTCAGTAAAATTATTAGTAAAAATATTTTTTTTTGTAACAATTTTTTACACGTCGTTAAAAATTGACAATTAGTAATTTTTTTTGTCATGATTTTTATAAATTGTTACTAAAATTTACAATTAATGACATTTTCTGTGACAAATTTTTTAAACTATTACTGAAAGTTAAAAATTAGTAACATTTTTTTTAAACTGTCACTAAAACTTATAATTAGTGATATTTTTAGTCAAAATTTTTAAATTGTCTTTGAAAATTAACAATTAGTGACTTTTTGAATAGTGTTTGATGAAAAGTGTCATTAATTATCATAGGACCTATTGAATAATAAGTCTACCTATTAAGACTTACATGTAAGTCCTCCATCAATTTATAGTGACTTATTTTAGGGCATTCGGGCGAAAACTCCAAATTTGAATTTTCTTTGGCCAAAGATCCGCGTACAAAAGTTTTTTTTATCTATAAGGACATGATTAAGCAAAATGACCAAAAAATCCATGCATATATATATATATGTGGTATTCACGCAGTGGCGCAACCAAACACTTCTTCTTCTTCTTCTTTCTCTCTCTTTCTTCTTTAGATCTGCCTCCACTGTGGTCATTACCTCCCGCCTCTTGAGAGAGAGAGAGAGAGAGAGAGAGAGATTAGGTTTTGAAGAGATGGAACATTCTGAACAGATGGTTATCTTTTTTATTTTTTATTTTTATAGATAGGTATAGTTATCTGTTTGAACAGATAAAAAGCATATTGAACATTTGAACAGATTGTTCTTGTTGATCTAGAGCTCTCTCTCTCTTCTAGAATCTCTCTTTCTTAACATTCATAGATTTGTGGCATGAGAACACAAATCAAGTTTCAGATTTGTTAGCGAAACCCTAGTTTCAAATCAAGCCAACCATGGAAGTTAGCCATTGTTCTGTTGTTGTTGTTGTTTTTTTTCTTTTTCTTTTTTTTATCTCTCTTTTGTTCTCGGGTTATAAATCCATATATGTTGTGTATGTATGTATGTTATATTGAGAGCTGGGAGAGAGAGGTTGGAAATCTTCAACAGATAAAAAAAATATTCTTTGGCTAAAATCTTCAAAGAATTGAGAACAAATAGGGTGAAATATTCAAAGCACTAGAACAAATAGAATTTTATTTGGACAAAATATTTAAACAGATAAGGAAAATTTGAATTGAAAATATTAAAAAATTGAACAGATAGGGTAAAAAAATTGAAAGGAAATTTTTTGAACAGATAGGAATTTTTTTTTTTAACAGATAGGAAAAAAATTTGAACAAATGGTCTACAGATAAAAAACAAGTCAACAAATAAATTAAGCAATAAAATTGAAAACAAAATGCCCTTCAAAACAAATAAAAAGATTTCTCACCAAACTATTTCACAATAATGAATCTTTTATTAATAAAAAATATTCACTGAATCTAATGTCCTATACCATTTTTAGCTTAGATTTTTCAACAATTATCTCATTATTTTATTCAACCCCTCAAAAAGGCTTGTAATCATTTTTAAAGAGAATTATCACCGCATATTGATAATCATTTTTACCTATTTTTTACCAAAATAAAATAACATAACATAAAAGTACACATAAATTTAAATTGGCATGACTATTCTTTTTATGAGAATTCAAATGCTGTGTGAGTAGATTTCTGACCACACTGCCAAATTAGTATTCTACTAGAGAGCACAGATAGAATAGATGACACCTGAATGACCTGTAACAGAAAGATGAGATTCCGGCGGTGGTTCGTCCACCTAGGGACACTCCAACAATCAAGTCAGCTATCTCTCAAAGATAGCAAAAGTGCTTAACTCACTATTTAGAATATAAAATGTGTACCTTAGACCCACGAGGGTGCCTCTCTTTTATAATCATCACAAACCTAATCTCAATAGAAGCCTAGCTTTAATGGACTTTGGATTACTGCTAATCTTGGACTCCTAGTAGGTTTGGAATAGACTCTCTAAGAGTCTTATCTTTATCCAAACTGAAGCATTCTCTCGTTCTAGGACTCTTGTCCCTTATCCGCTTATCCCGGATTCCGGTATCTTCGGAGATTACCTCTGCCTAGTCGAGATTACCTCAGCGTCATGGCCAGGACACATGGCACCTCAGCTGACACTTCGGTGCCACCTCGGCCACGTGTTGCCATTCAAAAATTATGTCCCCACAACTGCCCCCTAGGTTCTATTACCTCGGCATCCTGAAGTGATGGAACCTATATCATTCATTCCCTTTAATACATCGGCTAAGCTTGCCTTACCCTTCATTCCCGAGGTCACCACTCGTTGGCCCCACATGACTAAGATCTGTAATCTGTTTTCTCAATGACTTGGAACAAATAATTAAGTCGGTCCAAATTATTTAGCTGAGATCATCCTCATAACCGAGGTCTTTGC